AAAACCTTGTTAATCAAATGTTAATTAAAATCATGTGTGCTGAATTAGGGAAATGGTTAAAACTTGCAGGGCAGTGTGCCTGGTGGACCGGTGCTGAAAAACACTGGATTCGATGTGGCATTTCAATCAATGAATGTTAATTGGCTAGAATTGAATGGTTGTTTGATGGTTGATCCAGCCTCTGTCGTTGACCTGAACCATACATGCAGGTTCAGGTCAACGACGATGTTAATTCAACATTAAATTAACATCGTGTGCTATCTGGGTAGTTCTTCCCCAAACCTTGAGGTCAATCAAACTGACCTGCGTTTTTTCAGTTCAGCAAAACCCCGTTAATCAGACATCAATTAACATTCATTGATTGAAATGCCACATCGAATCCAGTGTTTTTCAGCACCGGTCCACCAGGCACACTGCCCTGCAAGTTTTAGCCATTTCCTTAATTCAGCACACATGATTTTAATTAACATTTGATTAACAAGGTTTTGCTGAACTGAAAAAACGCAGGTCAGTTTACCTTGAGGATAAGGTTTGGGGAAAAACTAGTAATCAAAGTGTTCAGGTATTTTTTGCCCCCTTCACCACCGCCTGCCATTCAAACGCCCAACCCCCTTCCCTCCACCCGCCAAAGACACACACACACCTCTTTCCCCNATATTTGATGTTGGTACTAATATTTGTCTTTGATCATTCTGCTCTTGATTTGGTCTCCAAGATATGTTTCTTTGTCCTGTTTCTCCTGACCTAATTTCTCTTGATTCATCCTTCCTTACTCTTTTTAAAGCTTCAGCATATGAAACTCTTTCTGTTATTTTAATTCTTTGAGCTTCTCTGGCTTCCTTTTGTATTTTGCATCCACCATATGCTGCACTATGCTCTCCTCCACAGTTACAGCATTTAATTTTAGCATCTTTCTCACATTTTCCATATTCATGTGGACCTCCACATCTTGCACACCTGGGTTTTCCTTTACAGTCCTTTGCAATGTGTCCCATTCTTTGACAAGCAAAACATCTGAGGGGTTTGGGAATGTATTCTCTAACTCTATAGTTCATGTATCCTAGCTGAATATTTTCTGGCATGATATTTTCAAACTGAAGGATTACTGCCATTGTGTCTTTAAGTTCTCCATCTCTTTTACTTTTAATCCTGGTGGCGTCTGTTATCTTCCCTCCTTTGATTTCTTTTCTCAAATCCTCCATTGACATTTCCACTGGTACTCCTGAAATTACTCCTCTCAACCTTGCTAGAGACCCTGGAATATATGTTTTAACTCTTTCCCCCATCAAGTTTTTCATTTTGATTATTTTTTGTTGTTGTGTTTCACTGCTAGCATAAATTAGCACTTTTCTGTTGCTCATGATTCTAGCCGTTTTGATTTTCCCTATTTCTTCTTCTATTGCTTTGGTCAACTTTATCGGGTGGATAAATCCTCCTTCTTGTTTGAATTCTACTATGACTTTAAACTCCACTTCTCTATTAAAGTCATTCTGTTCTCCTGACCTCGCCCTGTCGTTTGTTTTTGTCTTTTTGTTAGCTTCTTCTCTTGCTTCACTTTCTTCCGACCAACTTCTTGCCCTTTCTTGCCTCTTCCTAAGAGCTCTTTTCATTCTTGTTGATCTGGAAATCATCCACTCCATTTCATTTCCACTATTCCCTCCTGATGTAGAAGCCATGCTGCTACAGTCAATGTACAGTTTATGCAATCCGCCAATTCAAATCCTACCGCCTTCGTTTGTTTGATTGTTGGTTTGCTCGCTTCTCCTTCCGTCCTCTCTGCGCATGTGCCTCTTCACTCCTCACCTGATTGGACCCTTGGCAAGCTTTTCAAAATAAAAGCGGACTTCCGGTTTATGTTTGATTCATGTTTCTCTTCTGCGGCTTTAAA